CCAGGAGAGCTTGCTGGGTGAGGTGGATCTGTGATCTGAGCCACAACCCCCAGGGTCTTCCTCCTCCTCCTCCTCCTCCCACATGTGCCAGCTCACCTGGCCCCCCTGGATCTGTGCTGCTGGCACTGCTCCCTCCTGTGGGAGCACAGCTGGCTCTGCAGCCTCCAGAGGTTTGGTTGGTGGCCAGAGAAAACTCTCTGCAGCTTCAGCATCTCCACTGGGGTTTGGGAAGCAGCATGAATGAGTGGCTGCTACAAGCTGCCTGGAGTCAAGTGCACTCCTAGGACAGGAGTCAGCTGAGGGCAGCTCTGGGATGAATGAAATGCAGGAATTCCCTGTGTGCTGTGAGAAAGCTGAGTTGGATGGCTCAGAGTCATGGACACAAACAGGGCCTCAGCTACACAATCAGCATTTAGTGCTAGATCTGTGTTCCTCCATTCCTCAGGCACCCCTTGAGGCTCCTTCCTCAGTTCTGTGTTATATTCTGGGTTTCTGCTGGTATGGATTGCCAAGAGATTTTTCTCAAAATATTAATTTGGCATTTTCTTCAGGTTTAATTTGTAGCACAAAGTTTTTAAAAAGTTCTGCAACTGAGTGATCAAAAAAATTTATTCATGTTTTCTGAAAATATCTGAGATGGAAATGTATTAAAGTGCCTTATAGTGTAAGACAGGAGGTATTCATTATTACAATTTTTTACTTAAAAACCTATCCTTATCCTTTCCACAACAATCTTATTTGCTGTAGTACCACTCAAATGTTGACAGGTTCTTTTACCAAGTTACAATAAAAGATGGATGAAATTATTAATAATTTTTTATCTAATTGAATTAAAAATATTGCCCGTATGACAGCCCCCACCCTCACATGCAGCAGATGCAGTAGCTAATCACATGAAGTTAAGAAAGTCACAGTAAGAAAATGCAAATACTTTAGTGGCATTTTATATCTATCTATCTATCTATCTATCTATCTATCTATCTATCTATCTATCTATCTATCTAATCTATCTTTCTATCTTTCTATCTATCTATCCATCCATCTATCATCTATCTATCTATCTATCTATCTATCTATCTATCTATCTATCTAATCTATCTTTCTATCTATCTATCCATCCATCTATCTATCCATCTATCAATCTTCGTGAGAAAAGTTACAGTGAAGATGAATGCACTCAAGTTTGGCTTTTCAAATTTAGCTAGTTGTCTATTATTACAGGTATTTCTGAATATTATCTCAAACATTGAACTCTGGATCTTCATACACAGCATTTCATCTTCTTTATAAAGCCTAGATTTAATTTGAATCTGTTTGTGCAGACCCACCTGCTTTGTGTGCCTCTGTTGTGCCTTGTAACCAGCACCCATCAGTGCTGCTCTCCCTCCTGAACAGATCAACTCTCTTACCTTGTGATACACTTGTGCCATCTTTTATAAAAAGCAGATTGTGTTAAATATATCACCAAACAAGGACAAATTTCAGTCACATTCTGAATTAACATGAACTTAAGAAACACAAGTTTGAGGGATATTTGCTAACTTAGAGTTAGGTGATTTTTGCTGCACATTAAGCCACTACACAGACCTGATTGTACCTCAAGAGAAATTCAGAGCTGGACTGACAGTGTTCCAAATTCAGAACTCTTTTACTCTTTATTGACTATGATGAAAATCATCCATGTTTTATTCCTGTGACTGTTGATTCAATACTTACCTGCAGTACTCTGTCAGAATCTTCAGCCTAAACCTACCAATTTTAACCATCAGAAGGACTTCAAACATTATCACCAACTTGTTTGCATTGAAAAACAATTTCTTTTTGCCTTGCAGGTGGTACTGTGAAGGGAAGGAGCTTGAGAACTCACCAGACATCCAGATCATCCAGGCAGGAGAGCGACACTCTCTGGTCATTGTCGAGGCCTTTGAGGAGGACACGGGGCGCTACTCGTGCTTTGCGTCCAACATCTATGGAACTGACTCCACCTCTGCAGAGATTTACATAGAAGGTAATCCCACAGCTGCTCCACAAACTGATGGTTGAAACGAAGATATAATTATGTGTCTTGTTTGCTGACTGTGATAGTCTTGTCATTAAAAAAGCCATAGCAGGAGTCAACACTTTCCATCGTTACTAAAATCATTATTATTTTCCTGTAAAACACACTTCAGACAAGGGACCAGCCCTTACATTTTATTGTGTTACTTCCCAGAGGTTTTATATATCTCACTGCAAGATTCAAGTCTAAAAATACTCAGATTCTGAAACTACCTTGTATTTTTTGTCTGTGGAACTCTACAGAAGTGTAAGAAACTAAACTTTGTGTCTAATTCTTATGAATCTCTTTTCCCTACAGTCATTACTGCAAATTGAATGTAGGACAGCTTTCTCTTAACTCTTTCTTGGGACCTTGTAACCAAAATAAATATGCCATCAATTTTATATTCTCCTTGCCCAGAAGATGCTGTAAATCAAACAGAATATGTATTTGCAGGTTTAGGTGTCCCTTCTTTCTCCTTATGCTTTTTACTGTACCTAGTAGACCTAAGAGTGGTCTATGTATTATATTTATTTTTTACACTTTCTTGGGTAAGATTTGAGATTGAATCCATTACTGTGCTAGCATGACTATAAACTTAAAATAAACACATAGAATTTTTTTTCTTTTTCTCTCAGAGAAGCATACTATGGGCACCGTCACTGAGCACAGTGGGGCCATTCACAAATTAAAGCAGTGCCCAAAAGATGAATTTAGTTCTGCTGCTATTCTCCTTCCACGACTCTAAGTTGACAGTGAAAGGACAAATCCTTTTTCAGCATCTGCCCTGCCCTGATCAGAGGGAGGTGTCTGTGCTTGGCAGGGATTTACAAGGCAGGGGCCAGGGTGGGTGCTGGATGGGAGCCATGGCTGAGGGAGATGCTCACTGGCAGGAACTGCACAGAAAATGCAAATTCCAGCACGGTGAAGGCAGAATCAGAAGGGCAAAATGTCTCAGTAAGTGACAGCAGTCAGTAAACAGAGAGAGCATCTCCTTCACACTGTGGTACAAGGCACCAGCTGGAGAACAACAGCCACAGCTCCAGGTCTCTCTTTTTCCTTTTAATCTGGTAGCAGCAGGTGTCTGAGAGAAGAAACTTGTACTCAATTCACAACAAATATGGACTCAATCACAGTGGCATTTGAAAAAGAGCCCAAGGAACACCCAGGTATTCATTCCCTCTTGGATATTCCTCTCCTTACTTCAGCTGCACCTGCTCCCAGTGTGCCTCATCCAACAGCAGCTCTGCACCTTGCACAGTGTGGGACCTGTTCACCTCTCCTGCAATGGGACTTTTGTCTGGGCACAGCTTTATAACACACACCCATGGAGTGGGCTGCAGGAAAGCTGAGTAAAGGTTTGTACCATCCAGAGAGAAACTCAAAACCCCTCTGCTAAATGATTTTTTTAAATAATTTTTTCACAGGCATCTCTTCTTCTGACTCTGAAGGCGAAATCACCAAGGACGAAATGGATCAGTAAGTTTAAAACCAATTACACCTCCCATATTTCTTACAGTAAAAACCCCACAAGTGCAGACATTTCAGCTTGCAGCTTCCAAGATATTATCATTCTGTTTAGGATTAGTTTGGATTGGTTGGGTTGGGTTTTGTTTGTGCACTTGTTTGCTTTACAAATAGTACGGAACAAACAATAGTTTGCTTTTGTGTCCTCAGCTTTGGATTAAGAACCGAAATTTCACTATTAAACATTAATATAAAAGGAAAGGTGTTACCATAAATATTGAAATTCTAAAATTAATTTACTAAAAAAAATCTATTTGACTAGATCCAACTTAAATGTTGATTTAAGTGTCTGACTTGGACAAAGAATGCAGTACAGTTTCTCACATGAAAATACACAAGGTTTTTGGCAGAATAGAGGTAGATTGATGATTTAGATTTAAGATGAAGAAATTAATAGGCATGCACTAGAGTGAACTGAAATGATGGTATGAAAGACTAATTATAAAAAGAAAATATGTCAGATGTAACCTAAAATCTGGGAAATATTATTTATTCATTTCTTTATTTTTCCTAACTGAAATCCATCCCCTGATGATTTAGAACTTGATCCAATGCTGTTAAAAATCTTTCAGAATCAAAGCCCTTCTATGAACTAGAAAGGGAGTCACACTGGTTGAAAACTAAAAGACAGTTGTTTATTTTGAACTCGTTTGTATGCACAGATTCAACATCAAAAGCAACCAGTCCTTGATAAAAGAGGCCCTAATCAGATAGATTTATGCACCCCCTTGGTTTTTTCCACCACTAAGGAGAATTACACTCATTACAAATGCCAGTTCTTAAAATGCAAAGAGAAGACATTTGCAGTGTATTTGACTGAAGACCTCAGGCTGACAGCAAATGCTGTTGTATGCAATTCAAACTTCAAGGTCATAAAGCACTCCAGATGGAATTGGTTCACAGACTTTGATAAATGTTAGGGGTTTTATAAAACTTAAGGTTACGAAAGTCTCAGCTTTGGGATGTACTCTTAATCAGTTTGGATGAATTGTGAAGTTTTCCATTCCAGCTCAGCCCTGTCCTAATGTCACAGGCTTTTTCTTTTTTTTCAAATTCACCTCATTAGGTGTCAATGTAGGGTTGACCATGATCCTGATCATTTGATGGCATCTCTGAATCACTTACCTCATTAAATTGTGAGGTAATTTTTTTCTCAGAATGCTGCTCTGACATCACAGTAGAATGTCCCCAAATGATCACATTATGAAAGGCCAGGTTTGGGTGTAATGTCTTCATTCCTGCTCAGCTTCCAGCTGCCATCACACCAATCTGAACACCTGTAACTAAAGGGAGTTAATATAAGAACAGGTGCTAAAAAAATGTTCAAAAGAGAAATCAGTGATCACAACAGTTGTACCTTCACTCTGAGTAAAGCACCCTCTGTTTTGAAGGCTAGATTTTCTGGGGGGAATTCAAACTGAATAAAGAGACCAGCTGTGCACTGTCTGCATCATTTCACCAAAAAGGGTCAGCTCTTGTATTTCCATATATAAACAACCATAAAGTGAAGAGGTGTCAATCTGTACATTAAAAGTGATGCTATGTTGGTCAGAAAGCATGTCTCTGTTTTATTTTTGAACAATTAATTACTGAATCTGTATCCAAGCAAACCATGGTATTTGCATTACATTAGAGGCCAACTCTGCACAAAATGGAAAGCAGCAATGTCCTCTGTGAAATCAGCATTGCTTTCTCTTGCTGCTCTGAGCTGGTAAAGCCACAGCTGGGATAATCCAGGCCAGAAATGAGATCTCAGGGTGCCCAGGTGTGCAGGCTGACTCACCAGATGCAGCTTTACAGAGCACAGCTCAGCCTGGAGCTGAGGAACTCAGTCCCTCAGCAAGGCTGTAACTGAGACAGATGTGACTCAGGGACACACACAGCCCTAGCCTGCAGTCAGAGAACTTGTTCTTGGTTAACATTTCACAGCAAACCAAAGCCAGCCAACGCCTCTGTGAATGCAGCATCTCCTGCTGTCAGAGCTGCAGCCAAGCATCAAGAAACCTCCAAGGCACCACCAGCCGAGGCCCAGCCCGTGCCTGTCCTGGTCCAGACGGTGCCAACACCAGTTAACCAGGTAGGAGGACACCATGGGGCATTTCTGGGACTAAAAGTGAGCTCTTAATAAAGTCTTTCTTCTGCAGTTTGGGACTGAGAACCCCACATTTTCTAGCATTTGCTTTGCTGTTGGAA